GTTTGAAGAGACCCCTGGTCTATAATTTCTCACAGATGGCAGTCCAGTCTCTTGAAAGCTTCCGTTGATTAAGCTCCCGCAACTTCTGAAGGTCTTCTAGTCTGACCCTCTGCTCAAGCAGGAGACCCTGTACTGTTTCAGACAAGTGACTGTCCAGTCTTTTCTTAAAAATCTCCAGTGATAAAGCTCCCACAACTTCTGAAGGCAAGCTGTTCCCACTAGTTAATTCTTCTCAATGTGTTCAAAAATGACAACTAGTCCTCACTAGTGCTCAGTATCTGTCATGTCATTAGGACATGCAGTGCCCTCGGGTCCCGTGATCGCCATTTCCAATCTTCCCAGCTGGCTTCTGACAAAGTCAACAGGTCATGACTGCATCTGTGTGAACATTAAGTTAGGCAACAGTGTTCATTGGCCTTGAGCTAACTATGGCTGGGTTTGGTTAGTACTTGTCTTGGAGACCCCAAGGGTGGGCTGTAGACCAGTCTGAGAAATTAGTGGTGGTGGTGGAATTCCTAAGGGAGCAAATAACTTCTTATGTTGGCCATGGGATGATCCATGCTGTCATCAGGAGGTGAGCTTGATTTGAAAGTGGGATGTTTTTTTTTAATGGTACAAGCCCTGTCTTTTGTAGCTAGCTCTTGAATCAGTGTTAGGATGAATTTGCCCATTCCTGAACTCAAGGAAGGGCTGTCTTCTGAAGTACAGCATCACCACAATGATCCTCACAGTGTAAGAAGAGGTTCTAGTTCTAATGGAACTAGATGATAGATAACTGGTAGCAGAAATTTTGAGTACTTTGGAGAACTGGTGGTAACCTTCCACCAGGAGCAGAGTGGGAATGGAGATTTTACAATATCCTTTCCCTGCCACGCCTACCAAGCCACGCCCACAGAACAGGTAGTAAATTTTGAATCCCATCACTGATCAGAGCATGTTAATAATATATGAAATACTAATGCTCTGATAGTCATTTCGAAAGTAGATTTTTAAAACTTGGTTTACAAAATATTTCTCAAGTGAATAAGAATAGAAAGTAAGTTTAATGAGCTCTGCTGAATGAAGTTTTGCTCTTTTCCTTCACCTGGGAGTCTCATAACATGTACATGTGTTCTTGACAATTATATGATCTGCAATGCAGTCAAAAGAAATTATAATGCAATTCTACACCCCCATTCTCCACTGTTGTTTTTGGACTACAGGGCAGGCAAGCAAGGATTGTTGGAATATTTGTCATTCTCATGAGTTTGACAACCCGAGACTTCGTTAGAAAGTTCCTCAGCTTGGGCAGGGAAAGTAAGCATGGATCAAATGAAGTATTGTCCTTTGTAGATGTATCAGCTGACCCTGGTAGTTAGAATGAGGCAGTGTCCTCAGATGGAAAATCCTTGGAGGTAGCAGGAAGATATATGGGGAGGAAAACTTGTGTGCCTTAGTCTGGTTGTCTTGTGTTCTCCAAACCAGTCTAACTGGAAAATACAATTTTATCATCAGCTTCATAAAGTAAGATTTAATCCCTTCAGGGACGGATGTTTGCGTATCGAAGGAAACACGATGACATTTTGTTCTTTGCAAAACATCCAAGTCATTCTAGGAGCACAGCAAGATGCTGAATGCAGATTTCCTAAGAAGGTAAAGATAACAGAGTCTCTGCAGATTTTATTCTGCTAGTCATTGCCAAATGACTATCGATGCTCATCTCCATTTCAAGGCCACAGAGCCAGCATTGTCGGAAGACATTTCCCAAGTCACATGGCCAGCATGATGTCACGGAGCCCAGTTACCTTCCCACCAAAGTGGTACCTATTTATCTACTTGCATGTGTATGCTTTCGAACTGCTAGGTTGGCAGGAGCTAGAGTAAGAACGGGAACTCACTCCATCGCATGGCGCTCGGGGTCTCGAACCTGGGCTGCCAACTTTCCAGCCCACAAGCCCAGTGTCTCAACCGCTGAGCCACCACACCGCCCCATAGAAAGAAGGCTGGAGCATCCTTGCTGGAAAAAAAATAAAAAAGAACTGGGCATCAACTGGTCTACAACGTGGAGGAACTCTGCTAGATCATGTCAATTTGAACGTGAAGCTGTGGAGCTTTGGGTCCTTCAAGAGGGGACCGAATTTTTTCACAGCAGCCTGACGGGAAGGTTTGCTTCCTGCAGGATCTCACAAGGGCTTGTGATAGACGTGTTCATAGGGGGGATTTCTCTGTTGGAAATGGCGGCCCTGAAATGAAGCTGTACGGGCGTTATCTCCTGGGCGCGGAGTCCATTCGTTTGGAAGAGGAGGCAGGCAGCCAAGGTCAGTTTGGATAGATCTTTCCTGCTGGCCTGTCTCAGCTGCTTGGCTCTCCAGCTTCTCTGCCGGACACTGAGTTGGGAAATCATATTGCAGCGAAGGTTTGTGGGGGCCCGGTGGAGCTAGGCAACCCCCCCGACTTTCGGAGAAAGGGAGCCTTTGGACACCCAGATTCGTCCTGCAAGGGCCCATCCCCACTTCTGCCGGCTGCTCCATGAAGGGGGTGGCGTACTCCGGTTCCAGGGCCAAAGGCTCGGTATACTCATGCTGCTTGCCTGGAACGTCATAAGGATTCACCACCAGGGGGAGCGTGTAACCTTCGTCCAGGGCTGGCTTGAAGGTGGATGGGGCCACCTGGCAGCCAGGGTTGACTTGGACCAGGTCTGGCTCAGCATATTCTGCGAAGGAGAAGGAGACAAAGGAGAGGATGAAGGAAGGAGGAGAGACGTTCCTGTAGGATAATGGGGGACCTGATTCTGGAACCCCTTGAATGTTCCCTGAGTGACAGGTCTGGCTTGACTGACATACGGACTCTACAAAGGCCGCTTGCTGGATGTGCTGAAGCTGTGATGGCAAACCTGTGGCATGCATGCCAGAGGTGGCACACAGAGCCCTCTTTTCGGGCATGCGCACCATTGCCAGCTCTTCTGGTTTATGGTCCACACATGCGCGGCAGCCAGCTGGTCTTCACGGGTGCCAGAGCACTGGAAAAAGGCCCGAAAAATGGTCAAAAAACAGGATGCTTTTTCAGGATGTTTTCCCGGACATTTTCAGGCCATTTTCCTGACCGTTTTCTGGCTGTTTTTCAGTCTGAAAATGGCCCCAAAATAGCCTGAATAGTGCCAAAAACAGGCAAAAAACAGGCATGTACACACTGGCCAGCTGGTCTTCAGGTTTCCGGTGCTCCGACACCTGCACATGCATGCACATGTATGAATGTTCTGGTTTGGGCACTCGGTGCCAAAAAAGTTCGCCATCATTGTCCTAAAGCAAGGGGAAAGGATGTCTCCAAACTTGGCACCTTTAAGACTTGTGGACTTCTCCCAGAATTCCCCAGCCAGTATGGCTTTTTTAAACCACCCAACTTTGGAGACCCTTGTGCTTTAAAGCAAAGGGGTCTCCAACCTTGGCAACTTTTAAGCCTGGTGGACTTCAACTCCCAGAATTTCCCAGCCATCAAAAGATGGCTGCGGAATTCTGGGAATTAAAAGTCTGCCATGCTTAAAAGTTGCCAAGGTTGGAGACCCTTGTGCTTTTAAAGCAAAGAAGCCCACCCAATCCTCATATCAAAACGGACTGGATCGAAAGTTGAATGTTATTTCAACATCTTCCACTGCAGGCAAAGGCACAAGCCAACAAACCCTCCAATCCTAGACCTAACACACACACACACACACACCCAGCCAGCATGGTAGGAAATAAATTGCAGCACTTATTCTGCCCTACCGATATTCCTTGGCTTAAGACCACAATAAAGCTCAAAATTTCCATTATTAGGGAAGGCAGTTGATAAGTGAGCTGGCTGGGAAATTCTGGTGTGGGAATTCTTTGGTATTCCAAAGAATGAAATAATTTGGGAAATATTAAAAAAGGCAGAATATTATATTTCTCTAAAGGAGAAATGAAGAAACATGCTCTTAAAGACAGAAAGCAGCCCCCCAGTCTTTCTTAATAGCCCACAGCAGATGCCAGCACTTAAGGAGATAAAGAGCTTATGGAAAGAGGAAGCCAAATATCTAGATGGCTCCATTCATAAGCAAAACAAATACTGCCAGCAGAGGCCCATTCAAGACAGGATATTTTGAAACTGCTTGCAGCAAAGTTTGACAGCTAACAAAGGCAGAATGGTAGCATTTAGAAAGCAGCCCTTCACCCAAGATCCAGCACAGGACAAAAACCATTCGCTAAAATAGGACTTGCCCAACACCCTTTCAGAACAGGAGCCCCTTCATTGCCCCACCCCAGGACAGTTCAAACTTCAAAGTCCCAGAAACCTACAAAGATCCATCCACTCATTCAACCATTTGTTCAGCTGACCCAGGACTGCTGTTGGTCCTGTTCATCATTAAACTTTCTTTCCAGTCAGCCTCCATGTTGTTTCCAGCATCTTTCTCCAAGCTTGGACCTGAACCAGATGGATTTTCCTTCCAACACTGGGCGCTGTAGTCCACAAGTTGGACACCCCTGGTATAGATCCTCCGGAAGATGTATGGATTTCACTATGATTCTACTACACTTTTTAATACTAAGGGCAGGAGAAAAGGATACATGATCTCTTAGGGGAAAGCAACTTACCTGGTGACTGAGCTCCAAGAAGATCTACCGGCGTTCCTGGCCCGGGAAAGGAGGCAATTTCAGAGGCAGATAATTGCAAGTTCCCCCTGGAACATACCTGGCTGGCTTCTGCTATCAAGCAACCTAAAATGGAATTGCAGGGTCACCTTGGGAAACCAGCAGAAGCTAGAAGCCAAGGGGCATATTGCCACTGAAGTGTTTTGTTTTTTAAATTACATTTGGAGAAAAAGCAGACTGTTTGGGCAGAGAAATTTTTCTGTAAACCTCACACTGGTCTTCGACCACTATTAATCTCATCTGGCGTTTATAAATTCACCTGCCATATATGGATCTTCGTGTACCCAAAGCAGTGTTGTGTATGTTACACATAGAGAGGAAGGTGGGGGCAGCCTGACAAAGCCTCGGTATTTTCAGAAATATCAAAGAAGGGAAAGAAAAGTAAGCTTGTCTTAAATCTGATTTAAGTCTTTTAGGACCTAGCTTCTCCTGCCACTGTTTGCAACGGGTGGCTAAAGATTTGAGTTGGCTTGCCCCCCAAGCAAGGCTGGATGATGGGCCCCAAAAAGGCATATATGGGAGAGGGAGCTAGCAATAGCACTTAGACTTATATACCATTTTAGAGTGCTTTACAGTTCTCTCTAAGAGGTTTATGGAGTCAGCCTATTGCCCCCAGCAATTTGGGTCCTCATTTTACCCAACTTGGAAGGCTGGAAGGCTGAGCCAACCTTGACCCTGGTGAGATTCTATCTGCCAAATTGCAGGCAGCCGGCAGCCAGCAGAAGTAGCCTGCAATACTGCACTCTAACTACTGCGCCACCGCAGCCCAGATACCTGGGTGGTGGGAGTTGCAGCTGCCCCTGTAGTCATAAGTATAGGCAAGCTACCAAGCACCCAAATTTTGATCATATGACCACAGGGGGGGGGGGGTATGCAACCACCGCAATTTACGGTTGTAAGTCCATTCATAATTTTGAATGGTCACTAAACAAATGGTCATATATCAAGAATACCTGTACCCTATAAGAACTCATAGCTGGCACTATGAATATATCTGCTATGCAGATGAATAAATTTCAGTGTAAAGGAGGGAAAAAAGAGGGAGAGTCAGAAACTGACTTCAAAAGAAGGAAATGCAATTAGAGCAGAGTTTACGAGAACATGGCCAATTTTCTAACCCTAGAACTTTGCCTCTTTCACTGGAGTTTTGGGAAGATTTTTTTAAAAACCCGAATAGGGTTAAAACAGGCATGTTCAACTCATGGGCCATAGGATGCAAGCAGCCCTAGAAAGCTAGTAATATAAATCCATAGATTTATAGATAATAAAAAACATTAAAAAAATAAAGGAAGTTTGATATTTGTACACATTAACCCTATTATATATTTTATATGCAGCCCAAGGCAGTTCATTTGTTTATTTAGATAATAAGATTTATTTATTTATTTAGATAACTCCAGAGTTCCTCTTCACTCAATGCAGCCCAAGCAAACCAAGGATGGACAAACCTGGGTTTAGAAACAATTTAACTATGCAGCCAGAAAAAGTTTGAAAAGCTTTGAATTACAATTAATTACATCCAAACTGGATAGAAGTGACACAGCAAAACAAATGTTGCAAACTCCCTCCTTGTCCCCCTGATTTATAATTCCACCTTTTAGTGCTTTTGAGTATCAGTCCCCCGTAGGGCAAATTAAAGGCTTTAAGAGAAAAATATTCTTGAGAGTTTATCCACTTGCACGATGCAAGTGACTCAAATGCAGCTGTTGCAAAAAAAGCAAAATAAAACCAAGAGGCTGCAAAAAGAAAGAAAAATAAATGGGAAAGTTGGCACCGGCTAGAAGGAAGTTGTCCTTCTTTTATTGAGGACATGATGTGCTGCACTTTTGCAGGCCGTCCCAAAGTTGCATGTGGATGCAAGAAGAAAACAAAGCCCGCTTCTCTGTAAGTCAATAAAGAAGCTTAAACACACAATGATCATTCCATCCAATAAATCCTGAGACATTCATAAAAAGCCATGACTTCCTGTGCTGAGATGCAAAGGGCAATTTTGACCATCTGTGTTCAGAAAAGGCAAAAGACCAGTGGTGGGATGCAACTGGTTTAACAACCAGTTTGGTAAGCCTGTGCCTATTGTGCGGTTTGCGCACGCACACAGCGTTAAAAAACCCACCCATTTTAAGCTTAAAAACTTTCCTTCCGTGTCAGCGCTGGTGAGTAAAACAGCTGAGGCACGGCAGTCTGCTTGTGCCGCACAAATCAGCTGAACTAAAAAATGGAAATATGGGACAGGAAAGGGTAGGGGCAGGTGGGTGGGGCCAACTGCTCCTCAGAGCTACTGGTTTGCTAGAACTGGTCCGAACCGGAAGCAGCACACCACTGCAAAAGACCCAACCCATGTGCAAAAAAGTCTTAGATAAGCAAATCAGGGGCTCTGCTTCAGTTTGGTTTTGTAGGTAGGATCTGCTCATTGACCCTTTCAAACAAGGTTAACTTCAGACCAACAATCAAGCAAGCAATGCCCCAGTCAAACTGCCAAAGAGCCATCAGTAAACGGCCCAAGCAAAGAATGTCTAAGACCAACCCCACCCACACAGACAAGGCAAGGCAAAGGCACCAGAATATAAACGGACAACAAACAGAACTCCTTACTGTCACTGATGATGTTACCTAATTAGGGTCATGAAACATCTGCAAGAAAACAAGGAAGCTCAGAGAGCATCATGGACCCTTCATTTTAACCCTGAGCTACAAATATTCTCCTTTAAAAAAAAATTTATTAAATTTTACACTTTAAAAACAAATCGTATTTACAATTTTTGCAGTATGTGGTGGTCGGGTTCTAAAAGCAAAGAAATTTTGGCATAAAATAAGGATCTGGCTGCAAGAAATAATTGGTTTAAAAATAGAACTTAAGCCTGAAATGTCCTTATTAGGGATAATTAGAGGTGATTACAAGAAAGACATTGAATATATAATAATACACATATTGACAACAGCTAGAATAACGTATGCCCCAAATTGGAAATTAGAGAGTAGTCCCACTGATGATACGATTATTTAAAAAAAATGGATTGTGCAGAAATGAATAAACTTACAATAGAATTGGAGGAGAAGGAAGAAAAAGAATAGTATAAGGTCTGTTTGGTATGTTTGGTTAGATAACAGGAATAAAATACAATGCAAAATTTAAGTGTAAATGATGTGTGTGTGTATATATATATATATATATGGCATTCGGCTTTGTTCGGGTATTTTCCCACGTCATTGTAGTTGTTCTTTTAAAGTTGTAGCAGTCATGGCAGATGAGATTCTGAACAAAGCCGAATGCCATACATGTAAGTACCCGCGAAAACTTAAGAAAACATATATGTATGTATGTATGTATGTATGTATGATGTATGTATATAAATGAATACAGAAAAATCAATGCCACAAATTACTGCAAAATTACAAATATTCTTTATTAGTAACCCCCAACAGGACAAACCACCTACAATTGTATTTTAATGCTCTGCATCTTTCAGTACTTTACCTTTTATAAAGCTGCCATCATTCTGGGCTGGTGCTTTCCTGCTAAAGAGAAGAAGGGATGAATAACAGTTGGATTGAAAAAAACATATGGATTAGAGCACCTCTCTGCCAGTGTTTCTCAACCTTGGCAATTTTAAGATATGTGGACTTCAACTCGCAGAATTCCCCGGCCAGCTATGCTGGCTGGAGTTATTTGCAAAAATAATAAAAGGTGGGATATAAATAAATGAACGGGACTTGCTGGTTTTGAGCTTCACATGATGTGCATGTAAAGTCATGGGTCTGCAGCCATGGGTCTCATGTTTTGAGACCCATGACCACAGCAGTGGGATCTCTGTTGGGGATGAGTTCAGAAAAGATCCAGGGAGGCCAAACTCACCTCTTCTTATAACAGAGAAAGACCAGCAGCAAGACGGTTGCGGCAATCAAGAGTGAACCTCCAACTAGGAGCATCGCCAGTAATGGAGGACCTGCAGAAAGAGGAATTAAATCACCAAAAAGGCTGCTTCTAGCCTACCCCTAGCAATATTCTAGGGTTTGTCAGATGCAAGAAATCAGGAATCAAGGTGTTTAAATGAATACAGGCTTATTCTAGGCCATCTCTCAACCAGAAACTGGATTTCAAATTGGCGGTAGATAAGAGTCAATGGAATTCAAGATGGGCTGGACTTGGGTCTCTTGTGGGAGTGAAGGAATTCCAAACCAATGACATTTATTTATTTTCATTTTATTTATTTATTTGATTTGTCAATTGCTTACAAGATAATAGATATAAGAATAAACATGAGTAGGAATACAGGAAATAGGTACGAATAAATGGGGACAATAGGACAGGGATGGTAGGCACTATGGTTCACTTATGCACGCCCCTTATAGATCTCTTAGGAATGGGGTGAGGTCAGTATTGGATAGTTTGAGGTGAAAGGAGTGGGGGTTAGAGGATGTAACAACAGAGTCAGGTAGTGCATTCCAGGCACTGACCACTCTGTTGCTGAAGTCGTACTTTCTGCAATCAAGTTTGGAGCGGTTAACATTGAGTTTGTATCTGTTGTGTACTGTTGTATTGTTGCGGTTGAAGCTGAAGTAGTCATTGACTGGTAGGGCATTGTAGCAGATAATTTTGTATACTACGCTTAAGTCCAACCGTGGGCGGCGTAGTTCTAGGTTGTCCAAGCCCAAAATCTCAAGCCTGGTAGTGTAGGGTATTCTGTTGCAGTCAGAGGAGTGTAGTACTCTTCTTGTGAAATACTTCTGGACTTGTTCAATTGTATTAATGTCCGATATACAGTGCGGATTCCAGACAGCTGAGCTGTATTCAAGTATTGGTCTAGCAAAAGTTTTGTATGCCCTAGTTAGCAATTCAGTATTGCTGGAGATGTTTGACCCCTCCTTCAGGCTCAGCCTGATCATCTTTTACAGCAGGGGTGTCAAACTCCCAGCCTGCAGGCCGTATGTGTCATGCGCTGGCCACACCCATGCCCATGGGAAGGGGAAAAAAGTCCCGATACATCAGGTGACATCCCTGTTCTACAGGGTAGAACTAATTATGGAGCATGGTTGCTTGCAGTTCGGAGCACACTACACCATGAAGCAGTATATACGGTAAGTCTAAGTGCTCTTGCTATTAGCCATCATATAATACATCATACAGTTGTTAATTCTTTTCTATGATGTGACAGAATGATGGGAACCCACAGTTCATTGAATAAACCACAGGATGTTTCATGGCGCAACATTACACCTGGAAAAATGATTTGTTTTAATTGTTATGAACTGGACCCCATTTGCACCCTAAATCAGACATATCCAATCCACGGCCCCAGACAGCTAGTAACGTGGCCTCACAAGATTGCAAACAGTTAACATTATTGTGTGATATATATTTTATATGTGGCTCTTCATATATGTTCCTCTTCAATCAATGCAGCCCAGGTGAGCCAAAAGGTTGGAATCCATGCTCTAAATCATGGTTTACTTAACACCAGTTTACTGAATGATTCACATTTTGACTGATAAGCAAAACACCTTTCGTCGTAAACTATAGTTAGTTCTTCCGGACTGTGGTAGCTTATAAATGTTGTTAAATAAATGGTTTGTTTTTCTTTTGCAAACAAACAGTTGTTAATTTTTTTCTACCCTACCCTTGCTTATCTGAATGTTTGGCTAAACGTTTCTTGACGTTATGAACAAGAAGTCTTACCTGTTTTCTCTGGATTCATCACTATTCCTGGTATTGTTGTGAAAATGATTGGGGTGCTGGTCACACCAAGGAACACTTTTGGATTATTCTGGCCTGCAAAGAGAATAATTTCAGGCAAGTCTTCTACTGCGCTGTATCACAGGTATCGCCTGCTAATGCTACCAATCCCCTCAATTTCAGAATAAGGACAGGGAAGGTACAGCCCTCCAGGTATCGTTGAATGCTCTACCTTCAGTCTCAATGTATTTCTGGCGAATTTGGCATCCCAGCACCTCTACTTTCAGAGCGGCTCTTTGGTTCCAGCTCTGGGGTACAACGCGGAGGTAGCGGGCCAAGATGGGTGGGATAAAGGTGTTGGAGACTTCCTGGTAGTTGTCACTGTTGCCTTCGAAGATCTGGGAAGGTTTCAGGGGAGGGAGGAAGAACAGAGAAAGCCTCACTATATAACTGTTCAAATGAGGCATAGTGTCAACTCATATTTCTCTGGTCTTTTTAGAGTTGCCAACAGAAAGGGAGGGGGGAGCAGTGCAGCAGCTTGCAAAACCGAAACTGCATTCCATAAATGTTTTCAAAGATAGTAACTAGGTGACTGAAGTTTCTGCACTGCAAAATTCTATGATTGATGACTCTTGGCTATGGATGTGTCCCATTGGAGAATATGAATTACGATACACTCAGGGAGTGGGGGAAAACCAGGATCAAGGATGACAATGAATGGTGTGCCTCAGAGTCAGCTACACCCAGGCAGTGTCGGACATGTTAACTCCCAATAAATCCTTTTTAAGTTTTGGAAGTTTGGCCTCGAGGCTCATGATTTAATTAGGAGTAACTTCCAGAATCTGTAGCTATGTTGTTTTGGCATGCAATGCTCTTTGCGGCGCCATCCTGAGGGGGAGGAGTTGAAACAGTTTATGTCCAGGATGTGAAGGGTCTGTAGATATTTCCTCAGCCCTCTTTCTGACCCTGAGAATATAAAGGTCCTCTATGAAAGGCTGCAGTCTTAACTCTCTGTTGACGTCGGTACCTGCCCTGCTTGGTTGCTGTACCAAACCGGACAGTTATAGAAGTAAAAATGACAGACTCAATAATCTCACCAATGAAAGGGAATAATCTCAATAACCAATAATGGTAATCAATATCTTCCATCCTTACTAAAAGCAGTTGCTCATTTTAATCCACCTCACCTTTTCCTCTTTGGTGCCGCCAGATTTGTAGGTCTTCCAGTTCTTGCCATCTCTGCTGAACTGAACCTGGTAGGATTTGACGTAGTAGTTGTATTTATGGGAAGACCCCTTGGTGACAATTCCTAGAATAGAGGGGGTTAAAATGTGTGTCTAACTACAGGCACAAGTCAAGCATGTTTATGATGGAACTATATTCAGTTGTCTAGCCATAGCAGGGGTCTCCAAACTTGGCAACTTTAAGACCTGTGGACTTCAACTCCCAGAATTCCTCAGCTAGTCATGCGGGCTGGGCAATTCTGGGAGTTGAAGTCCACAAGTCTTAAAGTTGCCAAGTTTGGAGACTCCTGAGCTACAGTATGACCTCTACCCAAGAAGGAGGAAGTAAAAATATTACAACAGACTCCCTGGCTGCTGTTCCTAATGTATTTCCTTTACATTTATTAAGCAGTAGAGAAGCCAGGGAGTTTGCAGATATCCGGAGAGACAAGACTGCAGTGAAAAACAGAGTATTTAATCACCTTGTTGTAATAGTAATTAGTACCAAAGCCAACCGCTCAGCCATATGAATTTCTCTAATATTTTTTCTCCTTTAGAAAAAAATAAAACAAAAACCATTTCCCCCCCCCTATTTAACTGAAGGGCTGTGGTCAGAAGGAAAAAAAAAACCCAGAAGAGATGTTCAGCATTTTGGAAAACTTCAGGTTGGTTAGCTGGAATGTCCGATGCTGCCTTCTGGCTCCACCCAACCCCAATTGAGAGAGATGTCTGATAACCTTCCTTCTCCCATCTTGCATTCCACTCAGCCTCCAGTCCCTCGGTCTTACAATGCCTCCCTTTTCTTCACCAAACAAGCTCTGTTATAGGGTGGCTCCACAAAGCCTCACGTAGCCTCAGGCATCTCAAAACCAAGGGTGGATTTGCCAGGGTATACGAGGAGGCTCGTTCAGTTCCCCCCATCTTTCATATGGAACAGGACTGGGTAGGCGGAAAGGGAGGAGGGCCGGGAAAAGCAAGGCAGAGAGAATGAAAGAGTGGAGGCCAAAAATGGACAAAAAAAAGGAAGAAGTGGTCAGATCCGACACTGAGTCCCAGAATATGATTTGATTTAAATCAAGAGTGCTCAACCTTGGCAACTTTAAGACTTTATGGGCTTCAATTCCCAGAATTCCCAAGCCAGCCATGATGGCTGAAGAATTCTGGGAGTCCAAGTCCACAAATCTTAAATCTGCCAAGGTTTAAACCTCCCTGTTTTATACAAAGGAAAAAGCTGGTGATACTTACTGACCTGTGATGTTCCTCTTTTTACCCAAATCTATTTCCAGCCACTCATTTGCAGAGCTGTGATCTGCTGCCCAAGAAGAACCACCAGCAGCCAATGCTGCTTGCTCAGCGGCCCAAGCGGGATGGTCTCCCAGAATATCCTGTTCATGCCAGCAGGAGGAAGCGTTGAAGCTGGCAACTTCCAAAGCTCCAGCACAGGCTGAGGAAACAAGGAAGCCGAGAAGTGAGGTTCTTCATTCAGCCTCACAGTTACCTTGCCAAGTTAATCAGGGGTGGGATTCAAATGTCTTAACAACCGGTTCTGTGGGCGTGGCCTAATTTGTGGGCATGGCTTGCTGGCTGGGCGTGGCTAGGTAGTCATGTGACTGGCTGAGCATGGCTAGGTGGTCATGTGACTGGCAAACCAAATATAAGTGGCCCTCACTTAATGGCCAGTTGCTTAGCAAGTGTTCTAATTTATGACTGACTTCCCCAGAGGTACTTGACCTGTTTTTGGTGTTTTGACAGCCATGCACACACACACACACTAACACACACACACTTATGACCAGTTACAACATCCCACACAGTCTTGTGACTGAGGTTTTCTATGTTTTTTGCCAGTTTCCAACAATTCCTTTTGGTTTTCGCTTAAAAATGCCCATTGGGGAAAAGGGACTTGTTTAACAACCACAGTGTTCGTGTAATGACCACAGAGTTAATCATAGAATAGCAGGATTAGAAGGGACCTTGGAGGCCATCTAGTCCAACCCCCTGCTACAGCAGGAGACCTTATATCATGATTTCTATTGTCCCAAAACTCTGTTTTTTCATGAAAAATACTTATTATTTAGTATTGCATTTTTACCTACTTTTTCTTTGAATGTTCAAGAAGATTTAAATAGGTGACAGGTTGGTCTGAGAGAGATTGGCTACAATTGCCCAGTGGCTTACATGGTTGAGCAAGGATTAAACCCAAGTCTCCCTGATCAAACCCCAATTTCCTAATCACTGTGTTTGCAATATGGAGGGGAGAAGTGAAAGTGGAGATGAATTATGTGAAACTTTTACCTCCTTTGTGTCCAAAATTCATAGCTTCACAACTTTGAGTCATGGATCCCAAATTTGGGGACCACTCTAAGCAGTAGCAATGATGTCAGGACAGAAACTAAAAAAGCATGAGGTTTTCATTTCATGCAGGCTCAAATGTAGTTCAATTTAAGCATCGTTATTAAGATCCAGCTATGTACTTTATTGTTTCTTAAATAATGGATTTGACACATTTTAAAGGTCAAAGGGAGCCAGTTTGATGTAGTAGTTAAGGTGTTGACCTAGAAACTAGGAGACCATGAGTTCTAGTCCCATTTATGCATGAAAGCTGACTGGGTGGCTTTGGGCCAATCACCAGGAGACTGTGAGTTCTCATCCCACCTCAGGCATGAAAGTGCCATTGTTAGTTAGTTTACTTTATTGTCATTGCAACTCATACAACGAAATCAAACATCATCTTCAGTGCACGTCATGACCATGACCATGAAAATAAACACAAATACACATCCTTCACACTCCACACATTGAATTGAAAACCCTCGACACCGCACCAACACTGCACTATACAGTAGAATTCAACAGAGCTACTGCCCTGGGATAGAAGCTGTTTTTCAGCCTATTTGTCCTTGTTTTTATTATCCTGTATAGTTCAAAAACAGGGTTCTCAGGATGAGATGGATCTTTGAGAATGTTTTGAACTTTCTTAAGGCAGCAGGAGCTATAAAGCTCTTCCAAAGAGGGGAGAGGGCAACCCATGATCTTCTGGGCAATGACATTAACCCTCTGGAGCGCTGTCCTATCTGCCACTGTGCAATTGGCAAAACCAAACAGAGGTGCAGTAAGTTAAGATACGGTGCAGCGGTAGAAAGTCACCAGCAGTTTTTCATTGAAATCAGCAACTGGGTTTCCTCTGAAAATGAAATAAGCAGAGGTCACTTCTACAATAGGAATAACTTTGAGCCAGTCCCTCTCTCTCAGCCCGACCTATCTCACAGGGCTGTTGGGGGGGAAAATAGAAGGAAGGAATATGATGAATAAAGGAGGGATAAAAGTCTAATAAATAATAATAAATAATGTATTTCAGGATATGCACCTCTGGCTTTGCTTTTTCCAAAATGCAATATTGCAATCTGCTTTCCATAAGCTGACTTTTGTGTCCAACCTGGGGAACTTAAATGATTCAGCATGAAGTTGCCAAAGTTGAAGTGAAATCTATGCATCTGACCCTGTCACTTGACTTTTGCAGGCTACTTTGGTCCTAATATTGACTCAAGGTGCTCTCCTGGATCTTTTAGCTATAAATCAGCCTTCCCTAATCAAGATTTCTCCAAAAATGTTGAATTATAACTCCCTGTCATGCTATCTGAGGAGACAAGAGTTTTAGTTCAAGACAGCTGAAATGTTCTAAATTGGGAAGGGACCCCAGATAGATTGGAATTAAGATCCTTTAAATATAGCTGATATTTTTTTATCCAAGATTCAAAAGCTTTCTGCTCCATTGCCATCCATCAAGAGGCCCTTTTTAATAGAGCACTCCTATTATAGAAATTCTCCCCGATTGCTTTTTTTTTTCTTCAAGGGAAACCCAAATTGCTGATCTCAACAGCACTTTGCTGCTTTAATAGCATCGGTTTATTGTAAATGATTATTTTGCAAATTTGATAGTTGGAAACAGGAGGAAACAGATGGGGTTTTTTTTCTCCAAGGAAGGCATGCGAAGAAATGGATGCCGTTGAAGGACTTACCTTTGTGAAAGATAAGGCGTTTTTCTGATAATGATCCCCTGTTCAAAATGAAACATATATAAATGAATACAGAATAACAAGAGTTGGAAGCGACCTTGCAAGTCTTCCAGTTTAACCCTCTGCTGAGCAGGGGATTCTATATTAGAGGTGTCTAACCTTGGCAACTTTAAGGCTTGTGGACTTCAACTTCCAGAATTCCCCAAGCTTTTTTTGTCACTAGGTAGTAGAAACCATTAGAGAAGAGTCTATAGAGCAGGACTCCCCAAACTTGGCAACTTTAAGACTTGTGGACTTCATAGCTGGCTGGAGAATTCTGGGAGTTGAAGTCCACAAGTCTTAATCTTGCCAAATTTGGAGACCTCTGCTGCAAAGATTCTCAGTCATCCAGGTCATGGTTGTCCCAAAGATGTTTTTTCAGGAGGCAACTGGACTTTCTTGGTTTTTTTTTCTTTGAAGACGTTCTGCTTCTTATCGAAGACGTTCTGCTTCTTATCCAAGAAGCTTCTTCAGCTCTGACAGGATAGTGGGGGATGGAAAGATTTATATTCTTTGCAGACAGCTGATCATTTGCATCTTTGCTTCAAGGACCCTCTAAAAGGATGCAAATGAGCAGCTGTCTGCAAGGAATATAAATCCTTCCATTCCCCACTATCCTGTCAGAGCTGAAGAAGCTTCTTGGATGAGAAGCGAAACACCTTCAAAGAAAAAACAAAGTCCAGTTGCCTCCTGAAAAAAGCTCCTTTGGGACATTAGAGAAGAGGCTAGGCAGATGTTGGCACAGCATGAAAATTGGTTATGCTGCCCACTAGGATGTTAGTTTTATTTCTTGATTTAAACTCGTGAAAATTAACTATATTTTATAAGGGCAAGCACTGTAATGAACAATCTCAGAGGATTGTGTCTTTCTACAATTTGCCAATTAGTATCTTTAGATCTTGCTTACTTTACAAAAAATGATAAATATGTTGTGCATTAACACTGGTAGTATTGATTTTTTCCCATAATATAGCAATAGTACTTAGGATATTATAGGATTTTCATTTTTATGAAAAATGACAGAATAGGTAGCAAAATAAGGATTATTTTAATTTATCTGAGACCAATCTGCAAATTATCAACAGATCAACTAAAGCAGGCGTGTCAAACTCAAGGCCCATGGGCTGGATCCAGCCCGCAGGGTGCTTAGATCTGGCCCGCGGGGGCTCCCTGGAAACAGCAAAGAGCCCCTCTGAGCTCTGCTTTTGGCCGTGATGGCCTCCTGCAGCCCTCTGCCAGTGAAAATGGAGCTAGTTGGCCATGCCCACTCTGGCCACGCCCACTCTGGCCACGCCCCAGGGGTGGGGTTCAAATTTTTTAACAACCGGTTCTGTGGGCGTGGCTTAGGCAGTGGGCGTGGCTTGGTGGTCATGTGACTGGGTGGACATGGCTTGGTGGTCATGTTATTGGCTGGGTGTGGCCAACTCAATATCACTCACATTGAGGCACGCATCTCCTAGCCTGGCCTCTCGTGACTGTGGGGATGCTGCAACAGTCGTAAGTGTGAAAAATGGTCATAAGTCACTTTTTTCAGTGCCATTGTAACTTTGAATGGTCACTCCACACAAGCAAAGTACCAGCAAAGGAGGGGAAAAAAACTCCAGAGAGGTTCATGAGACAGGAAGTCTAGTCCTGCCAAGAATGTAATAAGGGTTAACGGAGAGTCAGTTTCTGTAAGCAACACCAGAATGTTTCCTTCTTGCCTTCCTTACAGGATTAGGCCAGTAATTTCTTCTAACAACCAGTTCTTTGAACTGCTTAGAATGTTAACAACCGGTTCTAGCGAATAGGTGCCAACCTGTAGAATCCCACCGCTGCCACGCCCCCCAGCCCTCAAAAAGTCAAACACAACCCTGATATGGCCCTCAATTAAATCGAGTTTGACACCCCTGATCTAAAGGAACCAATTGTTTCATGGTTGTTGTAGGCCAGTGGTGGCTAACCTTTTTGGACTCCTGTGCCAATAATTGTGCGGGCGCTTGCCTGCTTGTGCTCGCATGCCATCACCCAGAAGGCAATGCACACACACACCCATGCCTCCTGCGCATGCGTGCGTGACTTGCACGACCCACGTGCTTCTTTCTGTGCATGCGTGAGTGTCCTGTGTGCCACCACGCCCCTGCACATTGGCACCATATACCCAACAATCAGCTGTCGGCGGCGCATGCGCAGTAGGCCTTTTCTGGGTGAGTGCTTGTGTGCCGGCAGTAATGGCTCTTCATGCCACTTCCAGCATGTGTGCCATAGGTTTGCCACCACGGTTGTAGGCTATTTTACAATTCCACTGGATGCTCACCTTTTTGAATGAAGTCCGTTTGCAACACTGGATTTGTAAAGAGTGACTCCTTTTTCTTGCGATATTACGATTGGTCCACCCAGCTCGTCCAAGATCACACCAGCGTGGACAGCTGCTTTGCAAAGAACAGATGTCTGGAAGGGCAATAAATAAAAGGGGGCGATTGTAACAAATCTCCAGGCAACAGAAATCTAGTGGAAAAAGTGCCATGAGAACAATTCTGCTCTTCATTACAGTTTCTTAGGCTCAGTTCATTCACATTTGTGAAAGAGCTGAAGGGTTGATCGGAGCGATCAATTCAGCCTATGGAATGGATTGGCCAGATTCCAAACTGCCACCCAAGAGAAATGTAAACATAAAAATAATGATACTAACCATGAAATAGGTTTTGTGTGGCATTGTGATATATTTTGTTGCTGTTTAAAATGCTTTGAGGTTTGTTTGTTTGTTTTTTGGGCTATAATTCATTGCAGGTTTTGGTTGGCATTCCCCCCCCCCCCCGCCCCGGCCTTGGAGTCATGATGCTTTTCTATTCTTTGCTTAAAAGGTGGGCCATAAAAATATTTATTCTTAATTAGAGATATAATTAGGCTGACTTTAAGGACTCTGATCTCACATAGTGGCTTCCAATGTATCAAAATAGCATTAACCAAAAATAGCATTAACCATATTCAAACAGCTTAAACTAGAATAAAGCATCTTTAAAAGGTGTCTAATGTCAAGTAAATATAATCATACGCAATTGAAATAAATTTTGAAATAGCAGTAGCTGATAATTGTGGCAAGAGAAATTTACTTAAAATGAATAGTATTTACAGCTGAAGACCTGGATTTATGAGATATGCAAGTTTTTCTTGAGTTAGGATTCCACAAATATAGACCTCACTGAAACAATCCTATTCTTGATTAGATCTTCTGCAGTTGTTTGTTGACCATATATATTCAGGGGTCTTCAAACTTGACAGCTTTAAGACTTGTGGACTTCCACTCCCAGAATTCCTCCTCCAGCCATGTTAGCTCAGGAATTCTGGGAGTGGAAGTCCACAAGTCTTAAACTTGCCAAGTTTGAAGACCCTTGCATAAACTACTACACTTTGTGGATGGGACTCTATTTTCTCTCTCCTTCCCAATTTGAAATCCATGTCATTAAACTGAAGCATATAGTAGGGGTATGTTGGTCAAGATTAACAAAGACCAAGGGCAACAAAATCAAGTCAGTGCACCATGAGGCTGCCCACAAAGAAAGTTGAGCTTGGTTGCCTCAAGCAAAGTTTCTCTTAAAATGGAAAGAGGAAATGATCATTCAATCAGATAGCCTTTGGAAGCTCCATGTCCTCAGAAAAATAACCTCCTGAAGCCAACACTTTCTGAACAAGAGTACATTTGAAGGCATAATCCACAACGAACAACTCACATCTCTGTATCCTTGGTTCACATTTCCCCAGATGTCACCTGCCACTCCCTTGCAGCCTGCAGGGCAATAAACCCTACATAAAAATAATAGAAAAGAGCATGATCTGTGTGAGAGAGAGAGGCAGAGAAAGACAGATGCAAGACTGTTCAAATAGTTTAGAAGGTATTTTTTATGTTTCGGGGGTTCCTCTTTATCACATTATAACAATTCCACAAACTGCATAAAAACACACAAGGAACCAATTGCTCCAAAAAGCAGACATATTCCAGTTTTTACTTTAGGGTAGCAGCAAGATCTAAGGCAATGTTTCTCAATTTTGGCAACTTTTAAGATGTGTGGACTGCTACTCCCAGAATTCCCCAGACAATCTGCTGAGGAAGTTGACAGGGTTGAGAAATGCCAGGGAAATCTGGAAATTGAAGTCCATCTATCTTAAAATCACCAAGTCTTAAAAAACACTGATCTCAGGAAAATATAGCAGGACAAACTGCATCTGCTTGCTTTTTTTGAGAGCAGCCAAAGTTGGCAGGACATCGTACTGATTTTTTTTAAACAAAAGCAGAGAATTTAAGGATAATAGCTAGATTTTGCTGATGGAAATAATGTTTAAAGAGTTCTTTTCTTAACAGAAATAAGCTCTGCATATCCCTGACCTGTTGAAAATTGCTTCCAAAACTACCATTTTTGAAACAATTAGAAAATTAAAACTAGGGTTAGTAGAAAATTAACCCAGGTTTAAATTCCCTTCCCCTATTGCAACTGCACGTAGTTGTGCTTTATAAGCACATTTGGTTTTCTTCTACTGCAGAAGAGTTCTTCCTTTATTTAGACGCAACCAGGACAGTTTTTATTAGAAATTCTTACCTGATTTGTTCTGTGTTATAATGGATGCCTTTTTGCAAGCATGAAATCAAATCTGGAAGAGAGAATGGGAGAACACAGCAGTTTAGAAGGTGGATGTTATCATGGGGATTGCAGCACCTCCATTTCAACACCTGTATTTATATTAATTAATTAATAAATTTAGGAACAAGGCAAGAAGAAATCTGTCATAAAAGTTCAGTTGATGGAAACAAAGCCAATAGTATTGATTTTTTATGTTGGAGAAATAAGGCAGATGGATTTTCAATTTGTTTTTTGTCATTAAGGGAAAATTTCAATGCAGCCTGTTGACATTGGAGATGAGCAGGCTGGGCCTGAGGGCGGGGTCAAATGCAACATCAGTTTAGAACAGGGGTGTCCAACCTTGACAACTTTAAGACTTGTGGACTTCAACTCCCAGAATTCCTCAGCCAGCTTTGCTGGCTGAGGAATTCTGGGAGTTGAAGTCCACAAGTCTTAAAGTTGTCAAGGTTGGACACCCCTGGTTTAGAATCTCTATACCCCATAAGAGACCTAAATCCAGCCCCCCTTAAAGTCTGTAGATTCTTATCTGACACCAATTTGCCTTAACCATTAGTTCAAATTCTTGTGTATATGTAGCATGAAATAAACTTATAGTATATGTGAGCTCTATACTGGTTCCTGACTTTTTTTGCACCTGTCAGATTGGCTCATGAATTAATCTGCAATGGGATCAAGTCTCCATCCCAGTTTTCTGAGGGGCTGAAATGGGTAAAGTCATTTTGCAGTAAAAGGATTGAGGCAACTCTTGTTCAACTGACAGTACAAGCTCACTGCAGGAGTTTTTGACATGCAGAGAATGACTTTGTGACTTTGTTTGTATAATCATGAGGCGTTTGTTGAATTTTCTGTAAACATTGCACAACATTTCCCGTTCTGGCTACAAAGGCAGTTGCTGAATTCTCAGGAATGGAGTATTTCTACATTTTTGCCTGTTTAGAAGAAGCAGGCAGGGAAAATATTAATACTGAAAATAAGAAGACACCATAAATATTGTTTAAAAACTAAGTGTGTAATGTACTTTGGACGTCGTACTATGTCTTTCATTACATCCAAGGGAATCAAATCACTACATCAAATATACCAGTCAGTAATCTAGGAAGAAAAATTCTGAGGAAAAATGTGCAAGTCCCAGAATGTTTTCTAGAGTCACATGGAGCTGTCTGATCTGGTTTTTTTTAAAAAAATATTATTTTCATGGATGTCTGAATACTGAAATTACCTCTTTCATTTCTTTTTCATATGTCCATTCATTTTTAGTTTGGTGTAAGTAAACTTCAATACATTTACTTTGCCTCTGCATTTAAAAATGAAGTACTAGAAAATATACCATGGTCCTTTCACTCACGTTTAAAAACAACAACAAAAATTCTAAGAGAAATTGTGGTTAACTTAAGAACTACTTTTTGATGTTGGATAAACCAATGGCTGGTAGGCAATATGCAGCTGACAATATGCACCTTTTTGTTTGTTTGCCCACTTTGTTTGCCCCTTGTGTGCAACTTTTATTGTTGCTTTTGCAATTTTGTTTGCAACGTTTTGCTTTTGTACCCATGGAGGAGAGAATACTTATAGCTCAGGGTTGAACTGGGGTCCTTGGTGCTCTCCGTGCTTGGTGGTTTTTTTACAGGTATTTCATTACCCAGCTAGGTAACATCTTCAGTGTTGTTTTGGCTTTTACCAGTGTGCAGCATTGGCAGCAGAAGCAACATGCCATGGAGATGTTTTCCCTACCTGACCGATTGCCGCTGGCGTAAGAAAGAAGGAAGCCACGGCCTGAGCGATGTTTTGTACTGTTGAATAAGATGGTTATGGAGGTGGAATTCATCACCAAGACTGAGTGAGGAGGATATGCACTGCCACAGAATGGACCTGGAAGGGGAAAACAAGAAAGAAAGAAAGAAAGAAAGAAAGAAAGAAAGAAAGAATAAACTATGTAATTTTTCTAACCAGAGTCCCATTTGATATATCTTTCAGCAACAGTCAATATCAATCTCTATTCTCCCAGCAAACCTCCCCCAATTGGGCCTTGTTGAACTTCTTTCCATCAAGAATTTGATTTTGGCAACAGAGTGAAAGTGGTAATGCTAGGAAAGGAAGAGAGGAAAGTGCCTTTGGAAACATAATTTCGTTCCTTCGTTCACTCTTTATATTCAGCCCAGCTTTATAATGGTTAAACCTCATCCTACGCATCTTGTTATAGACTAGATTTTATGCAGACATTCCCAGCCAGTGGCATTCCAAGTCAGACAGTGGGAGGCTGACTAAGATTTCACCATCCCCAAAAGTTAAAGCGTTTGGACTCCATAAAGGTCACAACGCAACTGACGAGGAAAAAGAAAGAAAACCCAAATGTGACATCAGGCCACTTCAAAGTGTCTCGTGTTCTACCAAGAAGGCCCTTATTAGGATTTAGTACACAGCTCTGCCAAATCTCGAACTGCCCCCGAGCCTGTTGATTCAGCCCTCTCATTTCCCATGCCTTAGCTTTGGCTTCCTTTCTGTTGGCAGAGGGATCCCTGTTGGAAAGAGTGATTTATTGTTCCAGGGGACTTTTGCATGCAGAAATGGTAATTTGCTAGTTGCTGGGAAAAGTAACTAAAGGGGAACTCCTTTGTTTCAATCCTCTGCCTGGAAGCTTCTGTGAGAAGCAGGATCCTGGGGAAGGGGCCTTTGGGGCTGGTCCAGCAAAGTTCTTCTCATGTTCCCCCAAGGCTGCCCAGTTAATTTTTCTGAGAGCACCCAATCGAGCTTTCAAAATAGTTCAGAACAAGCCTGCTTCTCTTAGTGTCACAACAACCACCCAGAGATACAGTGCAGGCTTAGAGCTGCGCATACGTCTCATAAAACAGGAATGTTCCATTTATTTTTCTCCAGTTGAAAGCTGCCCAAGATCTTGGTGCGGCACGCCAGAAATTATGTTCCAAGAGGATATGGCTGGAAAATTAAATTTGGGTTTATTTATGCTCAAACTGAGTGACAATGTAAGCAAATTAATGTTGTTTTATTTAGGAAATTTATATAGGCATCTCTCCTAAATACACAATACACAATTGTTCTGAGCAATGAACAATCCATACCCAAAAATATTTTAAAAACCATCATGAATTATAATAATGCAGGCCAAGGCAAAATAAATATATATAACTATGTAAATGAATATAGAGTAGAGTGGAATGGAATGGAATGGAATGGAATAGAACAGAACAGAACAGAATAGAAAATATGGAATGGAATGGAATGGAATAGAAAATATGGAATGGAATGGAATGGAACACAATACCATACCATACCATACCATACCATACCCATACAATAACAGAGTTGGAAGGGACCTTGGAGGTCTTCTAGTCCAGCCCCCTGCTTAGTTAGGAAACCCTACACCATTTCAGACAAATGGTTATCCAATCTCTTCTTAAAAACTTCCAGTGTTGGAGCATTTACAACTTCTGGAGGCAAGTTGTTCTCCATATAGAGATGACTAGATAACACATGCCACATTGAGTCATTGTTTCAGAGATATTTTCTTACCTAAACAGAAAAACAGAATAACCAAAGGTTGGCAAGTCAGCAGTGGGAGCAGAAATGACTTCTGACTTCCTGCTGGCTTCCCCATTGAGTTTCCTCATGGGGATCTGTCAGGGAGCATCAGAAACCATCTTCTCTTCCCTTTCTAGCAGGCAGGCAAGTGGTTGCTATTGAGGAAGGAGGGTGCAAGGATTGCGAGACTGGCTTGGAAACTGTTATGGAATGTCGAACATGAAGATCACATGACCACGGCAGCAGGCAGTAGCACTAAAGCAGCTACAACTTTCCCAAATTTTATTCCCTTGGGAATCATGGGTCTTAGATTTTGGACACATTCTGTAGACTATTTGTGCTACCTTGGTTGAAAAACATAATGCATTATTTCACTCAGGTAAAGATCATGACAATAAGAGTTTTAATATATAAATGTTGCAGACTAATGCTTATTCTGCAGCAGGCCAGATTCCTTTTATTTTTAATTAAAATGATGGAACTAGAACTGATGGCCATCGTGTTTCCTAACTCCGACATAAAATATTTTCATTGTCGGCAAGGCTAGAAACAAATATTCACGAAACAAAAATTTAATTTAATAAATATAAATAAAACTATAAGAAACAGAAGAACACGAAGCACAGAAAAACAACTCCAAAACGGAATGACCACTCTAGAATATATGATGACGACACTGTCTCCACTCCGATTCAACAGCCACAAACCACAACTGAGTCAGCACTGTGTAATCCCTCGTATCCCCATCTTACTCAAACTCTCCTCTGCACTCCTACGCCCCAAATCCCAGGACTGTAAACTATAGGAAAACCTCTGGAATTTCTTCCACATGCCTACTCGGTCTCTATCCCTCAAAATCCCCTTAAGCAAACTATATCTCAACCTCCCCCAGCCTGTTTGGAATGGCCCTCCCAGCTAAGAAGGCAAAGGGGAGGTTTATTTCACCAAGTAGACCAGGGGTCCCCAAAATTGGCAACTTTAAGACTTGGGAACTTCAACTCCCAGAATTCCCAAGCCAGCAAAGTGACAAATCTGTCACTTTGAATGTACCCTAACCGGCACACATTAAAATGAAATTCCATCGCATGCAGCTCTCAAAGGACCACCCCTCCAATATTCATAAATACATAAATATGGCATAATAAATACAAAAGTATGCATATACCCACATATCTTTGCTATATTGTGAGCACAGCTGGCTAGCTCAGGGGTCTCCAACCGTGGCAACTTTTAAAGACTTGTGGACTTCAACTACAAAGCTGGCTGAGGAATTCTGGGAGTTGAAGTCCACAAGTCTTAAAGTTGCCAAGTTTGGAGAGCTCTGGAATAGATGGTCGAGACAGTCGGGAAAGAATACTGGTATAGATGTGAAGCGAAACAAAACACAGCGGGAGGTTTGTCGACATGCTTTCCTGCTCTCGCCTTCACTTGCCTTTCCTGACCCTGGGTGGTTTCGCCAAGTTGTAAACTCTCTGTGTCTCCGGAAGTGGAATGTTAAGAGCTGAAATCTGAACAAATGAAGTTGCAATTTCTGCTTTACATAGCAGCAACTGCTCAGGATGTGGGGTTTTGTCTTCAGCAGAGGATTTAATCTACTGTTTCCCAATCCCCTTTTCCTGATCTAACCTCGTCATGTCTGGTAATCTTACAGTCATCCATGCACATAGTAATAGTAATGGGGAAAAGAATGTTTCCTGAAAGCTGTGGGTTTTCCAAATAGTTCAATTACGTGCTGAAGAGAGAAGCCGTTCTGCTTCTACTGGAGAAGAAATTTTGGAGCCTGTGTTACTGAAAAGCAAAATCCTAATGTCAAGTGCCGGAGAAATCAGGAGACTCAGGAAGTTCAAATGCGTTCAGGCGGTCCTCGACTTACAACAGTTCATTTAGTGATGGTTACAGGTTATAAAAGCACTGAAAAGTGGTATTAATAATGATATCACTAGATGACCTCGCTAGGGCTCGCTGCCTTAGGAGAGTGAGGAAAATTCTCAGGGACGAGTCGACTCACATCTCGGTCAGCACTTCTTCACGCTCCTACCATCAGGTAGGAGATATAGAAGCATAGCCAGCCGCACCAACAGGCTGAAGAACGTGGCTGTCAGACTTCTGAACGGAAAAAAACTTCAGGTCAACATAGTATGATAGATTTGCGGGGCCGGCGCGTTGGGCAACAAGGTCACACAGTGTAATAAGATTGGGACTGGGTTAGGGACTTCTGTCCTCACTGTGAGTTGTGTTCGGGGGGTGCACGAAGGGAGGCTCAGCCAATCTCATTGTACACATGTTGTACTCTGACAATAAAGGTAATAATAAAAAGTGACTTATTTCACATTTACAACCTCTGCCGTCCAGAGGTGGTATCCAGCAGGTTCTGACCAGTTCTGGAGAACCAGTAGTGGAAATTTTGAGTAGTTCAGAGAACCGGCCAATCCCACCTCTGACTGGCCCCATCTCTTCTCTGCCTCCCGAGTCCCAGCTGATTGGCTGTGTCTTCTTTGGTTGCCCTGCACAGGAGAACGGAGCTGGAAAGCAGGTTAGTGTGGTGGGGAGGGAATGGAAATTTTGCAGTATCCTTCCCCTGCCATGCCCACCAAGCCACGCCCACCAAGCCACGCCCACAGAATCGATAATAAAAAAAAAATTAATCCCAGTACTGCTGCAGTCACGTGATCCAAATTCAGATGCGTTGCAACTGATTCCTATTTATGACGGCTGCAGTGTCCCTGGGTCATGTGATCCCCTTTTGTGACCTTCTGCCCAGCAAAGTCAATGGGGAAGCCTGTTTCACTTAACAACCATGTTGTTCATTTAAGAATCGCAATGATTCACTTGGCAACTGTGGCAAGAAAGGTTGTAAAATGGGGCAAAGCTCACTTAACAAACGTCTCACCTGGCAACATAAATTTTGGGCTCAATTGTGGTTGTAAGTCGAGGACTACCTCTGTATAGATTTATTGCAAGCTTAAGCTGTCTACAAGAATTTGAACTAGTAACAGTCATAGGAAATTTGGAGGAGTTAAGGATAGAAAGGAATCCTAGGTGGGCTGGACTTAGATCTCTTGTGCGTGTTGAAGAGACTCATGACTAATGACATGTTTGACCCCTCCCTCAGTCTCATCTGGCCATATTGCTATACCTCTCTTCCATTTGGTTAAGGCCTTTTTGATACTCTTTGGTGCCTCCATTAAACTTGCTGGTAAGGATGGTGATGGAGGAGGAAAAAGGTGTGATGACCTGGGGCATGGCACAAAGGCAACACAGTGAAATAAGCAATAACATTTATTACCTCCAACTTTGCCCTCAGTATCCAGATTACCTTCAGCTGGAGAAAA